TCTCTCTCTCTCTCTCTCTCTCTCTCTCCCTTCCTTCTTTTACTTCAACTCTGCACTTCCTCAACTCTAATCAAGTACTCCCTGACTTATAGTGTTTTGCTGCCAGTGGTGACCACTACATTAATTCCAGCCTAGACAGATAAACATTAAAGTTTGGTTCAGTTTCTTGTGACTAGTTGCTCTAAATACGTTGGCTCTGCATTTATATGCATTTCCCAGACTCAGGAAGAAACTTTATTGCTGTAGAACACTGTAGTCATCATAAGCAAGCAGCAGAACGAATAGTTGCTGCTGCTCTTGCCTGTTAATTAAACTAGTTCCTACAAGATTGCATTGATAGTTCATGGAAACAAAGACTTCAAAAATTTCCATGAGAAGCACTGTTCACTTATTGGATGGGCCCTAAAAACAACTTAAGCCTTGATGTATGTGTGTGTTGTGGAAATATCACTTGCTCAGGGATCGTTTAGCAATTAGAAAACAAAGAAAACTATAATTTGAGCCCTTTGCACCATAGTTACATTTACACACATTTTATTGAAAGATCAAACTTTTAAATGATCTAATATATAAGGTTCTGTGCATTTAGGATTTGAAGATGTAATCTTGAAGCTTTATTCTGTCCTGGTGGAATTGATTGCAAAGGTATCAGGTAAAAGCAATGTTCAATTAGGTTTCTGAGCAAGTCCAGAACTTGTACTGAGAAGGGTTGGGGCAGGGGATGTGCATATGTCTTAGTTGAAAGATGCTTGTAAGAAGTTTCTTTAGTGCATTTGAGAAAACTGACATCTATAATTCATCAAAACAACCATTTGGAGAATGAATAAAACATACCCACACCACTTTTGAATCATAGGTCTCAGACTTACTTGTTAAACTTATAAAGTTACTTATTTTGAAAAGATGTGATTTTCAGTTCTGGTATGCAGTTTTTCATTTTTGCAAATATGCTTCAACATCTTTACTTTCAACTTTTGACATATTTTTAGTGAGGTGTGTAATAGAGAAATTAAAAGTGTTTCTCACTTTATTTTGCCAATATTCTAACCCCCCCCAAACATTTTTTTGGCAATAATATACCATCTGTTCCCTTAAGCATAGCATTTTAAAATATGTTAAATTATACAAAATTGTTACTTTAGAGGAGAAATTAAAGCATGACTGTGAATCAATACAGAAGACATTTTGCATTCTAATCATTAAAATAGTCAAACAGGAATAATAACCTTTGAAAACAATGCAAAGTTCTAAATATAACAATGGAAGGGTAAAAGAAAGGACAATAAAAATCAAAGAAGAAAATTACAACAGCAAAAACATTATTACATCAAGATTTGATGAAACTCAGGTTTTCATCAAAATGATGAGAATAATGGAAAAATTTAATTTTTCTAATGTTCCATTTAAAGTGATTTAAGCACAATCCTTAACATGCGATTGTGGCGTAGGTTAAAAGAGATTGTGACCTCTGAAGTATAAATGTTAGAAGTATAAATAGCAGATATTTTGTGCATCTAAATTTAACAATTGTTATTCATTTTTCATTTCTATATTGAGGGAGCTGCTTCCTCCCAGATCAATGACTCCATTATATTTTAATAATTTATATTCATTATGGAAATGTGAGGCCTGAGAGCTGTAGTCAAAAGATATTAGCAACTGAAGAAAGAAAAAGGAAAATGGAGTGAGAAAAGTGCTAAAATCTAAATCTACCTTTCTCTTTGTTCAGTATGAAACTTCTTCAGGTAGCTCAAAACCAAGAGCTAAAAGTTTAATATATACATGTAGTTAGATGTAGATATACACATACATCCTCATACACATATACAAAGTGTCAGTGATGGGCAAAATGGGATACCATTCTCTGCCACACAACCAGCACTTAAGCTTCATAATAGAGGTTCGAAGCATAAAAATTAACTAGTGAGTTTTAAAATTAAAAGAGACATAATTCTCCTTACCTTTAATGCCCAGCTCCAGAGACAGCTCCTCCTAGCTCCCGCCTCCAGCCACCTAATTCGGTGGTGAGGTTAACACAAGAGGCCAGCAAGAGAGAGAGAGAGAGAACACGCCAGGGAGTGAGCTTTTATTGGGGAACAAAAAATTCAAGGAAAAATTCCATCCAATGAAGGTCAAGGGGGGCAACATTCCAAGGTCAGGGTCAGTGATTGGCCTTCAGGTGAGGGGTCAGGCACACCTCCACACGCACAAGCCCTCCCACCTGGGACATGGTGGGGAAGGCTCTGACACAGTTGCATCTAAGTGCCTCTCACCCAGCGAGGGAGGTAACTCAAATCACTGGGAGAATGGCTTCCCACACCATTCCTCTCAACAATTTGTGAAGTGTTACTTAGCAAATTATTTATTTATTCTCAGATTTACCATTATTCATATCCTACTCTGGGAAGCTGGTACCATTTATTAAATTGTTTATTTTGAATGATAATTTCTGTTTTCCTGCTTTGGCCTTCTTTTACACAGTCATCTAATCTCTTCATGAATAATAATAAGCATAAATTATTATTTTAATTTTGTTTTACCCTTTGAATTATTCTTGATGGCTTTCATTCTGGTTAGTATAAGTTTTTAAGAATTGTTATGACCTAAGTTATGAGATACTTTTTTCCACATTAGGGAAAGCTTCATAAACCTAATTTTAGTAGACTTCATTCAGCTGCCACAGTTCCCTCTAATTTATATTTACAAATAATTACACACAGTGAATGTTTCCTTAGACTATTTTGAATTATGCCTGTGAAATGGCATTCTCAATTTCAAAAATTATATTTTAATAGCTTCCGTGTTCTCAAAAGCTAAAATAATTTAATTCTGTTTTGCTTTATGTCTATGTTCTCTATTCATGATCCCTCTGTGTTGTTAATATTATGCAATTAATAGTTAGGTAATAATGGATTACTACATGGAAAAATTTCTGATGTTGGCCATTGAAGGAATGGAATATTTCTACCAGTGAAGAGGTAGAATGCAGATATTTACACAGTTATCCATTTAGTTTCATCCTATCGCCACGGTTTGTTGGCTGGATTGCAATCAGATTTAAATCTAAGATAGTTTGGTCAACTCCTTGTAGTGATTGGATAGGAAAGATATATGTTGAGCACTGAGGGTAAAAAATGGAGAGGAGTGTTACTCAGAAATTTGTTGCTGTGACCAAAATACCTGACAATTTGGGTTTAAAAGTTTAGTTGTACTCATGGTTTGATTCCAGGGGTCTCAGTCCATAGTTGACTGCCTCCATTGTTCTAGGTTTGAACTCAGGTAGAATAGATGGAGGAAAGTTGCTCACCTCATGGCAGCCAAGAAGTCAAGAGAAAGGTGGTTGGGGAAGAAGCCAAGGATGGATTATAGTCCCCAAGCCCATGTCCCCATGACCTACTTCCTTGAGCCCCCACCTGCCTTTAGTTTTAACTCCTTCCCGTAAATCCATTAAAATGATTAATCCATTCATCAAATTACTTAATACACGGATGAAGTTACAACCCACACATGTAAATCATTTCCTAAAAACCCAGCTTCTGCACCCTGTTTAATTGGAGACCATGTTTCCAGTACATTTTTGGGGAGGACATTCCAGACTCAAACCGTAAGAAGGTGTTATAGGACACTATGTTTACTAGTCAATAGAGTTAATGTTAACAGCAGTAATATACCCAGATATTTTAGTGGCTTGGTATACACGTACTCACACAATTTTTGTTCAGGCAGGGCCTTATATGTGCCAGTGAAGGATCCATCCAGCTTGTGACTCAATCATTTCAGCAAACAGACTCTAAGGTAAGCTTGACAAGGGAAAACTGAGCTGGGAACTCATTCACATAGGATATTTCCAAATGGTTGGACTGAGAGTAGTTCACATCACCTCTGCCTGATACACTGATCACTTACTATATCATTTACTTAACCTAGTATCCAGGTAAGCTGGAAAGGCACACAAAATATTAGATGAATGTACATTATGTTTGCACACCAATTTTTCTCTTCCTTTGTATAACTTCTTACTTTCCTAAGGAATTCCTATTTATCTTTCTTGATAATATATGGTATCTTTTTTCCTTAAAGTTTTTAGAGATACTTTCAGCCATTAAAATTGTTCATTTTTCTATACTTTTCTATTTAATTTTATATTATGACTATCCATAAGAGCTTCTATTAATCTCTGCTCTGGAACTCTGCCTGTATCATTCTTTTATTCCACCCAAATTCTATAAGGTACTTATTATTATCATTTATTTATAAGGGAGATAATTTTTAAAATATTAAGTAATTCATACCTCAATATAGAAATAGCAGTTTGAAAGCAGGTATTGGGACCTAGGTCAGCATGTGCCCAAACTAAGCACCCTCTGCTCTGTGTATCTGCCTGAACCATCTATGTTTAATGTGCTTTTCCATACAGAAATTAATGAAATTCATTACAATTATGATTATGCTCTCTTCTGGGATAGTTGGCAGGTATTGATCTTTGAAACTTTGAATCTTAGTGTTACTGGGTCAATAGGATATGTCCCCCAAATCTCATATGCGAAAATTTTCAGAGTTAAAATGATTAGATTATGAGTCTTAACCTAATCAGTGGATTAATCCACAGATATGGATTCACTAGATAGTAACTGCAGATAGGTAGGTTGTGATTGGAGGAGGTAGAAATGGTAGGTGTGCTTCTGGGGTATACATTTTTGTCTGCAATGAGCAGAGCTGTCTCTCTATTTCCTGGTTGCAGTGTCCTGGAATGCTTTCTTCTGCCACACACTTCACCATGAAGTTTTGCTTTATCTTGGGCCCACAGCAATAGAATTGGCCATGTATGGACTGAGAGCTCTTAAACCATGTTTAATAATTTCCTCTTCTAAAGTTGTTCTTCTCAGATCTTTTGGTCACAGTGGCAAAAAAAAAAAAAAACTGACTAAAACATCCAGCATGTTGACAGACTTTCAAAACCATATGCCAATAAATAGAGGAACACATTTCAAGACACATGAATTCTACCCACTATACTCCCTTCCTAATTTCAACTCATTACAGTGAAGTTAGAGCCCAAGATAGCCTTCTGACAACAGCTCAGCTCTATCTAAGTAGAATAGAAGTGTCATTGCCTCTCTTTTACTTGGTTGCTTACTGTTATTGCTTCTTGCATTATTTTCTTAGGACTGTCATAAAATACTAGAAACTGGGTGACCAAACTACCAGGTATTAATGGTTTCACAATTCTTCAGGTCAGAAGTCTAAAGTCAAGGTGATAATGGCTGTGCTGTCTCTGCAGCCTGTAGAGGAGCATTTCGTCATGCCTATTCCCAGTTTCTGGCAGTGGCCACCAACCCTTGGTGTTCATTGGCTGACAGCTGTGTCATCTCTCATGTTTGCCTCTGTCATCACTTGGTACTCTACTCTGTGTATCTCTGTCTTCACATGAGCTTTTCTTCTTCATATAAGGATACCAGTCACACTAGATTCCTACAACTCCCAGAACCTTATCCTAACTTGATTGTATCTGCAGGGACCTCATTTCCAGATAGGATCACATGTACATGTATGGTGTATTAGAATTTGAACATACCATTTTTGGTGATACAATTCAATCCGTAATGCTACTTGTGCAAACTTCCCTACTTAAATTGCTTTTCCTGTCACTTCTACTGAGTTTATTTACAGTCAAACCATTTATCTTTAGTTCCTGAGTCTCTTACTAATGATCATAACTTATCTTTTACCATGGTTTTAATTTCCTCTTCACTCTGCTATATAAGCCATGCCCTCTTGTATCCAGAAGCTAGAATTGTTATATTTTCATTGGACCCAGAGATCTCTATTCTCCCTCTGATTCTGTGATTACTGCATGACAGCTGATGGAGCTACCAAGTCTCAAGCACACACCTTACATCACTTCTGTAATGTGGGGCCCCAATGGGTTCATGTTACACCTCGTTCCAGCCACAGACCAGAGAGAATACATATTAATTACAGCTGACGAAAATACTACTTCTCTTAGCTATTCACTACTATCTTGATCCAGTTTTATTCTTTGTTATATTTTTTCCCAACAGAAGAGCCATTATTAGATCAACAGATGTGAAGCCTACCTGAAGCAATAACTGATCACCCTAGATACGTCACCTTACCCTTACCAGTCCCCCAGTAAAATATGTGAGACGGTAGTGCAACTTCTTTTTAAATTCTGTTTTTAAGATTAATAAACATACACAACGTTACAAATAAATGTATATAGGACTGAGATTAACTTTTAAATTGGAACAACAGTTCATAAAGATAAAACTTCCTCAAGAGTGAAAAGCAACAGATTATTTGTTTTCCATCCTGAAGTCTAATTTTCAGGTAGTGCATTGTGCAGTCAACATATCTTCTCTCCCCACAGTCATTTGTTCTGCATCCCTACCCATTTCTTTGGTATAAAGAAATATTACACCAGTCTATAATAGAAGAATTTAATGCATTGGAGAGTAAATAGAAGTATTCTTGAGAAGATTTTTGTAGTTATTATTTCTTTATTTGGGGTTTTTTTTCAGACTAAAGGAAATAAAAATAAGAATCTTTCACAATTGCCATTATGTTATAAATAGTATTGACAAAATTCGCTGGCTTCAAGATACTATACCTTTTGCAACATCTGTCATTAGGGAAGAGATGCTATAGAACAAGATGATCTGATCCTAATATTAAGTACATAATTTGCAAATTCATTGCTGCAGATATGTATGTTTACATATGAAAAAGTAACATGAAAAAATATAATGCTCCATGAGAAACTCTTGAGCACCTTAGCTAAAAAAGTTGTAATTCCAGAGAAATGATGAAGTTTAATAATATTCCTTACTGCATATACAAGTAGTAAAGAATAGAAAGTTTTAAATTGTAACATGTAAATTTCTGATATATTCAGAAAATTAATTAGAATTTTATTAAAAATCTTCCAAAACATTTTCATAAATTGTGACATTTGCTTTTATGGTGAGCTGAACCTAATGTTCTATTTCCAGTAAGATGGGGGATATGTGGGGAGACTGTTTTTGATGAATGGTGCATATCACATGTCACTGCTTGTACAGAAAGCATAACTGTCTGGGCCTGGTGGTACCAACCTGTAATACCAGTGGCTTGGGAGGCTGAGGCAGGAGGATCCTGGGTTCAAAGCTAGCCTCAGCAACTTAGTTAGGCCTTAAGCAACTTAGTGAGACCCTGTGTCAAAATAAAAACAAAAAAGGAGTGGGGATATTGCTCAGTGATTAAGCTTCCTTGGATTCAATCCCTGGGACAAAAAAAAAGCATAAAATAAAAGCATAACTGAGTGGAATAAGTCAGGTGCTTTGTGTAATGAAACAAAGGTCTTCCTTGTAGAGAGTCTTCTAAGCAGGAAAAAAAAAATACATAAAAAATGTTTACCCTAGAGTTAACAATGAATTTTGCTCTTTTAACTTTTTCTCATGATAATTAGCTTTAAGCTAAGATGGAGGAAGTGATAGAGGAATGGGGTTTCTATGCATTCTGCAGCCGTTTTGTGATTTATTAGAAAGACTTGTTGAGGATATTAATAACATTTCACACAAAATTGCATTACTAATATATGGAGACAATTTTCTACAATTTCCAAGTTAACTTGACAGAAAAAGATATTCTTTCAGAAATTATATTGAAAATTTGATATAAATGTGAAACTTGAATCCTATATCACACCAAAAGCAATCTTAGACTTAAACCTAAGTATTATTCCTATAATAATCTTAGACTCAAACCTAAATATTAATACTATACTACCTGTCAAGGAAAATTGAGAACAATAAGTACATATCTTTATAGTAACCAAATTTTTATTAGATAGTAAATAAAATATACCATTGAACATGAACAAAACAGTTTTAACTAGAAAATAATAAAATTTAAAAGATTCTCCTCTTTGAACTTCACTATAAAGACAAAAATGTCCAACCACAGACAGGAGAAGACATTTAAAATTTATTTGTTTAAAAAGGAATTGTTATCTCATATATAGAATGAATACACTTATAGCTCAACAACAAAAGGTCAAAAAGACCTTTTTCTTAAAATGCAGGTCAAATACACTTTCTAGCATCCCCTGCTTAAGTTCTTTGGGATCCATAAATACATCCTGTACAGTTTCCTTGGTATTTTTCCTTTCTTTCAGAATGTATATGAGCACAGCAGTCTTGGAAAATATTACGCCCCCAAGATAGAATTAAATTAGGTGTTGAAATACCATTTATAACAGTTTTCCCCTGATTAAAAATGTTTATTTGTACTTTTGGAAAATCATTTTATGTTGTATTAATCCCCTGATATTTGTGTGTTGGGGGGGTAAGTTATTGGACATAATCACTAATGTTGTACTCAAGTAATACACTCATCTTGCAAATCATTCTGTGTTGCTCTAGTTGTAGAATAATCTTAGTAATAATAATAATCTTAGTAATCTTAGTTGCAGAATAATCTTAATAATAATAAAAACCATAGCCTCTCTGTTGGAAATCCTTGGAGAGAGATACTGCTTTAGCTTAGAAATGGTGGCCCACCACCACCTGAAACTGTCCATCTATGCAAGCTGTCTAGCTTCCCTCCTGACTATTTTTCCTGACTCCTTGCTGCTATTATGATTTAATTTGGGAGGCATTTAGAATAACCTGTATACCCTGAAAAGGAAAAGTTACATATGAAGAGATATTTGAGGTCTTGGGGAGGGTAAAACTCCCTTAACATAGGAACATAGGGAAAAATGGTAACCATCTTTGGCAATGGGTTGAAGGGCC